CAACTTAAAGAAGTCCAGACGCTTTTCTTTGCAAGCTCCTTAGACTACGATGACCTGGATGACTGAGAACCTTCACAGACATCTCGGCTGTCATGGATTTGTGCTACGAGTCTCATCTTTTCCCAAACAGAAACCGAGGATGTTACAGATGAAACTAAACCTGCACGAGAACGCTGCAGCCTACAGAGGTGACCCAACATCTGAAGGAGGAAGTCTCACTGCACAGTCATTTCTGCTTCTGTGGTTCAGACACTTCCTGCTAGCATCGCGAAAGCAGCACGCAGAGCAGAGCGTCACTTCTGCTTTCCCGTGTCTGATTTCACACCAGCTGCTGCAGAGCCGCCCTCTCATGTCTGCAGAGCTTCAAAGGCCACAAAGGCCTGAAATACTGAAACACTGTACCGAGAGCTCCGCCTCCCACACCTGCCACACCTGTCACTGTGCACAAGCTCACATCACCTGACCAAAGAGCAGCTCTGCTGGATTTTAGCATGTGGATAACACAGAGCAAAGCCTGGAGGTCATCTGCTGATGTCACAGGTTGTGTTTGTGTGTGTTACCTTCATGCCGTGGCCCAGACTGTCCAGCTGCTGGTAGTTGATTGGCTTGCGGCTGTATGGTGGGCGTGGCTGTATGCTGGTGGGAGGGAGGATCTTGTGGCTGCGTGGGACTCGTCTCACCGCCGTGAACACGCCAATCTCCCTCCTGAAAACCTTCTCCTTGTGCATGTCCACGGTCTGAGGGCAAAGGTCAGAGGTTAATGGACCCGCGTCTGTGCACAAGTCCAACATGGTGGCTCCATTTAAATTTAATGCGCTGCAGAAACCACGAGCTTCAGTGAACGTGACGGCATCATAGACAAACACAGGGAGAAACAGGTGACCTCTGACCTTTGAAGAGGTTGTAATCATACGTCATACTGCTCATACGTCTCTGATGCACTGAGTCTGTAATGTGAAACACAGCTTTGTGTTGATGCTAGCTTAAAACAGGTGTGGTGCTGCTGGAGGACAGCGACCAATCACCTTCAGTCTGTTAGAACCTCCCACTCTGTTACACTGTTTATATGCACATTTCCTACTTCTTTTTCAAATTCAAAGCTTCTAACATTTCACGGGTGACACCCGCCCATCTCTCTACATCCACCCATCGTTTCTAAATGTGAATAATTCAGCCTACTGTGGTATAATTAATGCTATCTGGTCGTTCAGTCTGACGTCACTAGCCGTGTCTGGGCCTAAACTCCGCTGCAGGTCCATATATCAAACGATCACTATGGCATTACTGAGAGTTGAAAAACTGTCTAAAGTCTTTCATCT